TACAGGAAATGTCGCGGAATAGCATCATCCCTGACATCGATAGAGATAATTGTTTGGCATCCCGGAAAATCTTCTCAGCTATCACACTCGCCAAACATCCCTTTCAAAAGGCACACATACTATCACGGACGTACAGATGCATATCATTCCCGTCATTGCCATTAGAAGATTCAAATTCTTTCTCAATGTTTTAGTACAAGATTCACTTTTAGTTCTGTTTCAGCCTTCTCAGTACGGCCTCTTACAATGATATTACAGCATTTGTCTCCTAACCTAGGTGGCTCCTGGGCGCAATCTTCATTCCAATGCTTTGTGACAATAACCAGAGGCCTGGAGCCTATGCACCACTTGACAGTCGACTCAGTTCTAAACCGGAAAGACTATTCCTTCCGTTTACCAGTAGATCGTTTTTGTAGTTCTTATCACACAACTACCAGAATCAGGGAGGCACCAAAAAACGTCAAACAGCTTTAAGCATTATAAATACTCTAATCTGCAGATTGTATTTATTTTTCTTACTCTGTGAACGAAATCACGCTTTTCTAACTTCACACAGATTACCATGAAACCAATTTTCCCATGCAACTCCTAAAATCTTACAACTCATACATCTTTTTTCCTATACCATCCGCATCTTGCTCCAAGGTTTCATGGCAATGTCTTGTACGCGAGTCAGCCACTATTTCCTATCACCAAACTACATTGCTCATCATCTAACATTATCTACAGAAACCAAATCGGATTTCCTGCTCAACGTTTCCGCTCGTTAACATTGTCTTGGTTTTCACTATATTTTTAAAGCATTTTTAGTTATAACATGTTCCTAGGTTTTCACTGTATTTTTCTAACATGTTACATGCCTCCTAGCATGTTCACGCGTGTCCTCCATGTTGTACTGTTTTCTACATCGTTTCCTCTAGTTGTTACAAGCATTTCCTAGCTTGTACACCGTTTTCCTAATATTGTCACAACTTTTCTTCCAGGTTCCACTGCTTTTTCTACCGTTTCCTGTGGTTACTTTCTTCTCTTTTGTAGATTTTCATTGTGTTTTGTCCAGCTTTTTTTATTACATGCTTCCTACCATTTTCACCGCTTTCCTCTATGGTTTTTTGTACCATTTCCCCTCGTTTCCTGCATTTCATGCATTTTCAATATATTTTTCCAAGAGTTTACCCGTCTCCTTCAGTTTCCGATCGTTTTTGCACCATTTCCTCTGGTTGTTATCGCATTTTCCTGCACTTTCACTGTATTTTTCCAGCATGTTTACTGCATCGTCGTTTGTTCCTAGCAGTCGCTCCGGTTTCCTCCATGTTCCAACAGATTTTGCACCCTTTATTCTTGTTATCACATTTTCCTGCCAGGTTGTTATCACATTTTCCTTCACTGTATCTTTCCAGCATTTTCCAGTGGATTTTGCACGATTTCCTCTGATTGTTATCATGTTTTCCTGCAGTTTCTATATCCTCTTCGTGGGTTTTCAGTCTATTCATGCAGTTTTAATCTATTTTTCCAAGAATTTTACCCGTCTCCTTTTTGCACCATTTCCTCTGGTTTGCTGCATTTTCAATGTATTTTTCCAAGAGTTTTACCCGTCTCCTTCATTTTCCGATCGTTTTTGCACCATTTCCTCTGGTTGTTATCGCATTTTCCTGCACTTTCACTGTCTTTTTCCAACATGTTTACTGCATCGTCATAGTTTGTTCCTAGCAGTCACTCCGGTTTCCTCCATGTTCCAACAGATTTTGCATGGTTTGTTCCTAGCATTTTCCTCTGATCGTTATCATGTTTTCCTCAAGTTTCATTGTATTTTCCAATACATCCTCTTCGTGGGTTTTCAATATGTTTTGTCCAGCATTTTTTTACTACATGTTTCCTATCATTTTCTCCTCTTTCCTCCATAGGTGTTTGCACCATTTCCTCTGGTTTCCTGCATTTTCATACCTTTTCAATATTAATATTAATCCAAGAGTTTTACCTGACTCCTTCATTTTCCGATCCTTTTTGCACCCTTTCCTCTCGTTGTTATCACATTTTCCTGCACTTTCACTGTATTTTTCCAGCATGTTTACTGCATCGTCATGGTTTGCGCCTAGCATTCGCTCCGGTTTCCTCCATTTTCCAAGGGATTTTCCATGGTTTGTTCCTAGCATTCGCTCCGTTTTCGTCCGTTTTCCAAGGGATTTTGTACGATTTCCTCTGATCGTTATCATGTTTTCCTGCAGTTTCATTGTATTTTCCAATACATCCTCATGGTCTCTCCGGCCACCAAAAAGGCGGACCTAGGGGGAATCGATACCCCACCGTCAGCAAATTACCTAGTGGTACATAATCCAGCAAAATGCTCCGTTTTCTGGCGCTCAACACAGGGGCACGGCGAGATTTCGTTCCCTTTCGGCAACCACCCCCCCCACACCCCCTATTCTCACTTCGTTCGCAAACAGCAACTAGCCAGCTAGCTGGCTTTCGTAATATTATTTGTGACACGGCTTACAGGCAACTTCTATAAAACGATAGAAAAATAAATTGAACTAAAAAAAGCGAAAACTAATCAAAAAAAAGCAAAACCCAATCCAAACCTCAATTAGAAAAAAGAAAAAAAATGCACACCTCAATTAGAAAAAAGCAAAAAAAAAACAATTCAAAAAAAAGCCAAAAAAAAAAGCAAAACCAAAAGCAAAAAAAAAGCAAACTATTTGTTTTCGTTTTTTTTCGCTTTGTTTTCGCTTTTTTTTCGCTTTTTTTTTCCGCTTTTTTTTTTGCTTTTTTTCGCTTTTTTTTTTCGCTTTTTTTTCGCTTTTTTTTCGTTGTTTTTTGCTTTTTTTCCGTTTTTTTCCACGAGTTTCTTACATTTTCGAAGGTCCCGGTCATCAGGTCACCTGAGAAAGAAAAAACCAAAAAAAAAGCGAAAACAAAGGCGGAGAAAAAAGCAAAAACAAAGCAAAAAAAAAACAGCAAAAACAAAGCGAAAAAAAAGCGAAAAAAAGTGAAAACAAATAGTTTGCTTTTTTTTGCTTTTGGTTTTGCTTTTTTTTGCTTTTTTCTAATTGAGGTTTGGATTGGAGTTTGCTTTTTTTTTGCATAAAATTTTTGCTTTTTTCTAATTGAGGTTTGGATTGGGTTTTGCTTTTTTTTTGGATTAGTTTTTGCTTTTTTTATTTGTTTAAAATTCTTTAGAAGTAGGCTGAAGGCATTTCACAACATTATATATTTAATTACATATACAGTATATACATATATATGATTGCTGATTGCTGGCAGAATCCATATCCTCATCCTCATCCCATCCTGGCGGCTCAAAACCGGCCTGCGCCGATCCAACAGCAGTTGAGGCCGACGAAGCTTCGCCAGCAAAGGCAATGCTGCTTCCAGGATTGGGGTGGCCACCTGCGCACGGGCCAGGGCCATGTGCCATGGCAATTTTGGAACCACAATGGATGTTTTGATGATTTATGATTTATGATGATTTATGATGATTTATGATGATTTATGATGATTTATGATGATTTATGATGATTTATGATGATTTGGAAAATACAAAATGGATCAAAATGCCAAGCATTTTGATCCAACTTGTTTTTTTGCCCCAAGCCCCACTGAGACCCCTTTTTTAAGTCTACGTTTGTAATTCTTTCCAACCTCTCACTGAGGCCCCCTTTTTCAGTCTTTGTTTGCCGTTTTTTGGTTCCAAGCAACATTGAGACTCTTTGTTTAAGCCTTTGTTTGCGCTTTTTTTGGCCGCCTGTCCCACTGAGACCCCTTGTTTAAGATGTTTAAGCCTTTGTTTGCAATTTTTGTATTTACTTTGTTTTTTTGCTCCAGGCCCCACTGAGACCCCCTGTGGAAGCCTTTGTTTGCCATTTTTTTCGCTCTCAGCCTTACCGGATTTTCTATGCTTGCTGTGGTTTCTTTTGCCCCAAGCCTAAATGGGATACCATTCTAAGGTTTACGGAACCGCGGTCCTTTTAAGCCTTTGACCTTAAAAGCGCCAAGCCTCAAAATCCGTAAACCCTAAAAACACGAAATTTTTAAAGCCGACCAAACCCTGGTTTGGCCTGAATCCGTCAAAGACACGAACGTGCACAGCATTGGGTTTCAGAGACATTCAGAGAGGGCTCTTTGATGTCTAACATGTTTTTCGGCTCATTCACACGGCCACGATCGGCCACGTTTGGTAGACTGCATGCTGCGTTATTTCTCTAAGTTCAAGCTGCTACCCCCACATTATACCAAAAGGCCTTCTCAGCCAGAGCTGGATATTTGTGGCAGCGGCTGCCACCAACGATCTGTGCATGTCCTTCACTGTCGATGTCAAACTCGCATGGGACCCACACAGGGCCACGAGCTGTCTGTCGAACGAACCTGAGATGGCTATGATAGCTGGGATTGCGTCAAATAGTTAGTTGGCGGATGGAAAGACACCATCATCTTGCACGGAAAAATATCAATTTTATGAACTTTGGGTTGCCCAATGTTGCCCATCACTGCCCCTTCTACTGCTACAGCTGCTACAGTATTTGCTTCGTGAAAAAGACAGGAGGCGATCACGTTGGACACAACACGACACATGAGCATCGTTGAAGGGTTGAATTCAACGCAATTTTGCACGTGCCTATCGTACCTCCATCAAAGAACAAAACCGCTGCTGGCTCTGATCTTCACATGAAATACCTGCCTGTTGAAACTTAGAGACACAATCATGGAGAGATAGATTAGATTCACAAACCTCGTCACCCAGCTGTTGCATCAACATGCCAGTGTCGTTTTCTCTGGTAAATAGGAAATGTTGCGGCCGCGGTCCCACCAATAGTAGTTCTCAGTGGTCACTTCTGCAAAACGTCGTGACATATCATGACCTTTCTTATGTTCACTGTAGCCCACCCCATGTAGCAAACCAGTGCTGCAATTGCTCATGTCACCAAAGCCCTTGTATTACAAAAAAAACAACATAGTTGAAACATCAAGAGTCAACATACCCAGCCAACAACACACAGCGGCATGCACCTGCTTAAAGCTTCGCATGTCACCAACACTCCAAGTCATCTGAAGCTGTGAGGTTGGCCAAAAAAAAACTCTCAGCCGCAAAATGAAAACACATGACCATTCCCACGCACTTTCAGCCCCCCCCCAACATACCGCAGACCACATGCTCCTTGGAATTTGGAACTTTGGGTGTTCCCAAAGTTATGCGGGTTAGGCAGGCCACTGATTCGGGTCAACAATCATCTGGTAGCGAGGAATCGGCCTCGAAAGCGTTGGCTTTGTTTACAATGTTGAAGCTTGCATCCTCGCTCACAATCCTAAAATCAACGTTGATTATGATATATTATGATTGTACATCATGCACTATGTTCTGCCAGAACGCTTCCTTCAATTCTCAGTGAAATGCTTCTGGATCCTGTTGCTCCCTCTATCTGAAATCCCACATCCAAAATCATCCAAGATCATCATCTCCAGGCCTATCCAAGGTGAGGTCAGCGTGTGTATCCATGAGCCCCTTGATCTGCGGCATTTCCACACAGGCGCTCCAAACATCTGAGAGTTGACCTGCAACGTATGAAAGGCGTGCCTGGTGCTAAGCTGTAACTGATGAATTCATACACTTTCAGATTTAGGTTTGCCCAACATTGCATGACATGACACAGGAAGGCTTTAAACTGGATAGACGTTTGTCTGTCTACAGTAGCTCCAAACCATACCCATTCAGTCCACTATATTTATGGTGTCTCGAGGTTCGTCTCATCTAATCCATGCGCCCTTCGGCCATCCTATCCTGTTCTATCCTATCATATCAAATCTAGCTTGACCACATCTGATCTTGTCCAACATCTTAATAAGTGGGTGTTCTAATCTGATCTAATCTATCCAACTGATTGGCTTGAATGATTTTCCACTGCATTGAGCCCATAACAACCAGGAACAGCCAGGTATTCGCACGAAACATCACGAAAATATGTTGTTCTATCTGCCTCTCCACTTTCCTTATCTACATAGTCTTTCTTTCCATGCACGTGTCCATCCTCTCCATTCCAAATAGTTGCGTAGATTCTATGATGCACATCAAAAAAGAGCAAACAAAACACTGAGGGATTCATACAATTGCTGTACATGCAAACGATTATGGTATACATTATTATACATTCATATAATGTTGCATGCATGCAGATTATGAGAGATTTACTGAGATTCATACAATTGAGCAAGTATAAGAATCCCATCCCATCTTTTGGTGCTACACCATGGCTCAATCGCCAACCCTTCCGAGCAGAAATGACTCTTGGATACTCTTGGACACCCGACCCCATCGCCGAGAGCCGGCAGGAAAGGACCACTTGGGCGCAGGAGGGAAGAAGCCCAGCGGGATCAAGAGATCATGCTTTCGACGCTTTTCAGTTGGCTGTTGATACAGCAAGACCTCCGTTGTCATCATGTCATCCGTTGTCCAGCTTCGGCAGAGAGCACAACAAAAGCACTAAACAAATATCACTGCTGACACTTGCTCTGCAACTTGCTGACTGAAAGAAAAATGTTGCTGAGCGCGCCGGCTTCATGTTTCGTGTAAATCAGCCAGCAGTCGAAGCGATGTGGTGTGACGAATTCCTTAAGTTTGACATGCACACCAATCAAGCAAAGCTGGACCAAACGATCTGCACGTGTATTGAAGTGTATTGGTAAAATGATTTAAAATGTCATCAACTAATATCAAATACCATCAAATACCTATATAGGCAGGAGAGAAAGTCGATCTTCCATGATCTTCCCACATCCTGAAAGCTGCAGCAGCTGCACTTTCCGCTCGGCTCCAGGACCACCACTTAAAATGCCAAGGGTCCCTCGTCTCTTGAAGCGCTTGGATGGTGGCAATGCCAGGATTCGGCAACTTGTCCCGATTGACGATCACCTCGCAACTACCACCGAAGAAGGTGTCCGTTTCACCTTGGCGCTGGATATAGCTGGATGCCTCTGGGCAACAAACCGCGACACAGGTTACAACTGGGAATGATCGGCAATGATCTTTGCGTGGCTAGCATCAGCAACCTGAGTCCATCTTCCCTGCAAGATTCACCTAGTCACCTCGTACTTGAATGTCAGATACTTGAATGTCACCTCGTACTTGAATTTGGCACAGGTGGATTTTGCAGGTATGTAAGTTTAAACATGTCATGTTCAGTATGTTGAAAGCTAAACTGGCAATTCAGTGAGCATCTCGACAAGTGTGGAACGTTTTCTAGATTACATTGCAGCCAAAGCGTCAACGAGCATTTTGCTCACACACATATACTGCCGGGCCTGTATGGAGCACCTGCCTGAAAGCGCTTTGCCAGGGGACGCACGCCAACAAGAAACTTGCCCATTACGGGACAAAAATTAGTTTGACAAAAGCCAGCACACAAAATAGAAAAACTATTCCATCCTAACATCAATAAAGGACAATGTATAGCATTGCTTGAAATCCTACCAGGTCCTTCTTGGTTGATATCGATTAATCTTGATTCTCATCCTGGTATCTTTAGATCGTAACCTCCTCTCAGGCTCTGAGGCCTCTGCTGGGAACTCCATAAGTCATGAAGTGACATAAACTTCTGCCAGCCTGATCGCCATCGATGTAAAATCTGAAAGAGTCCTTAGATCTCACTTCCACATCTTCCACCATGTTCCAACTATTGTTGCAACTCAAACCGCCAACAAACCACTACTCCTCGATGTGCTTGGAGTTTCCCCTCCCACCCGATGAGAATGGACCTTGTGCAACCCCAGCCTAGCTCCAATGCTGTTCGTAAGTGTGAACACATTGGACATCAACTGCTGTGTGCATGCCTGCGTTTTGACGACCTTGCCCACCCTTTAACTTTACGCAAGACCCATGGTCCGCTACGCGGAAACCCAAGACTTACAGTAACCCAGCAAGTGAGATGGCAGGCTGGTAGGCAGCAAATGGGCATGGGTGAAAATGAGCACCCCCCAAAAAAAACAACAAGGAATGTGTTACTGCATTTCATTTCTGAGAAATCTCAAAATGATTGCGAATTTTGTGGGCCCAGTGGTACGTCAATTTTGACCGGTGTGTCCGAAATGGGGTATGCCCCAAACAATTGCTGTTTGATCGGAAAATAACTATATAATGATACTCCAGTAGGATTGAAGATATTGAAGGTACCCTATTCTCAAACAAACCCACATGAGTACCTCCGAGTACCTCCACATTCAATCTTTGCCAACTGCAGAGATGTCTCTCTTGTGGCTCTAGCGGCGCTCCGTGGCACAGCAGTGTCAGACTCGCTGGCTCAACTCCCATGGCAGAACTGGCTGCCTCCAGAACGTCTGCTGCAGTTGCTCCCGCGGCCAAGGAAGTGGTGAAGATTTCAGTTCCCACCTGGTAGTCTAAACCCTCTTGATACCAAAGTCACTAGAAGCTTTGCTCAATCATTTCAAAGTCTGGAAAAATATTATATAATATATATGAAAGTCGATTGGGGCTCATCATGGTTCATCACCCCCTTTTTAGCAACACAATAGTTGATTTGCCAAAGAACATATGTACAAAAAAGAAAACGGAAACCACCAGCCAGGCACCATGCTGTATCCCACCAGGCTTGGTCCATTGAAGCCTAGGACATCGAAGGATTCTGGACTCGAGCTATGGTGGTTGAGAGACAACGCGGATAAAATGGAATAAGAACATCTAAGATTACCAGCAAAATGGAATGAATGGAGAAATTCTTTGCACATTTTAAGTCCTTATATTCATATTATGTGTCTTTGATGTCAACAGCCCGGCCAGCAGATTCCACAACCAAATCAAGCTGGGTCACTCAAAGAGATCATGCGAAAGCCATGCATTGATGGAAGTTTGTATCCATCGCGGACGCCAGTCGCGCCGATCATATCGCCGCTGTCCCAGGGGGACATCCAGTCATCGTCAGAATTGCCATCAGCTGATCCCTCGCTTTCACCGCTGTCGCTGCCGCCCGCAGCGGGAGCGGCACTGGCGAACTCCCTAAACTCAGTTGGAAAAGGCACCAGGCGCTCTTGAAGAGCTTCGGCATATGGCTGTACGTACTCGGCCATGGGTGCTGGCTATGGATTAGATGGGGTTTTGGTCATGCCTTCCGGCACTGTCCTGAAGTCTTGGTCTGTCCTGAAGTCTTAAGGTCAGGTACCTCCCAAAGGAAAAGAACACATTCAACATTTAAATCCCATATATAATCCCATCAAAACCCTCTCTTGACTCTTGACTCCTCATTATCGTGTGCGCTCAGTCTAGTTGCTCTTTCTTCGGCCGATGTTGACAACTTGGACTCTTCAAATCTCTTCAAGCTTTCCAACGTTAATTCGATTGTACACAGTGGCAAAGCCTGCTCAAGGGCCCCTGTGGCTGCGGAGAATGAAGAAACATGTGAGTACAACCAGTGGAGATGACACTCCACCTCCACCATCTTCTCCTCTGAGTTTCTCTTTTTGATTCTTTTTGAGGATCTTTATGCATTTTTGTGGCACTCAATCAGCACAAAAGTAGGGAAAATCTTGGGAAAGGACCACAACGCATGTCCTGTTGAGATGCTTGCCTTGTCTGTGGCAGCCACTGGAGCAACTCCCTCGATCTTCCTTAGCTGCGCGGGATGGCTTGCATGATTTGGCACTATCAGCAATTAGCCTCATTAAGAATGGTGATGTTCCCTTTGCTATGTTAAATTACCGGAGGGTTATCATCGAACAAAACGCTGACAGTTGCTGACTGTTGATGGCAATGGGGACCTCTTGCAAGCAGGCTTTTTATTGACTTCATTACAAGCCACCTTATCCACACCTTTCAGTCACTCTAACCAGGCAAAACCAGCACCCGGAAAATAAAAACAATAAAAAACACCATAAACAACACCGGTAAGCGCCATCATCTCCAACAGCCCAACACTAACCACCATTAATCATCATTAACCGGCATTGACTTTAGATTATTTCAGTATTTTAACATTAATTAGCACCAACATTAATCACCAGGAACGATCACATTAGCCAGGATGGTTAGCAACCCCAGTAACAGTTCTCCAACATGGCTATGAGAAACCCCGTCCAACATTTCAACGGGCAAACATGGGCAAACCATCGAACTCAATGGGGAAATTTCCGGACAACCATGACGGATTAATGACCAAACGGTAATCAGCAATAATCATCTGCCATATGGTGGGAAAACTCAATTCGTAGCCTTGGCTCCCCTACCCTGAGAATCTTCCCCAGTTGGTCAACAAGATTTTCCACAGTGGATTGTGACCATCCCCAATGTATTGGAATGTATTCGATAAGCCCTTACTCAGATCTTCAATGTGCAGTTGTTTTCTGCTCATCGCATGTTTTGCCAGGGTTTCTGCTCCTTCTGATTTTTTAATGCTCACTCGAACTAAAAGACGCGCATTTGTGCTGACGGACGGCCCGGGTTTCTACACACGCTTCCATTCCCGGGTATTTACGCGCATAATTTTGCCGACAAAACGCACAAAGCAGACAAATCTCAAGAGTTGCGCAAGTACGCTCATTTGGAGAAGACCCGCTAAAAAATGCCGAAAAGGATCGAAAAGGCATATTAATTTGTAAAGACATCTCAATGAGCATTTCGCTAGGGGGCTGACGTTGTCAAGAAACAGACAAAAATCCATGCGGGACTGCAATCTGTGTGTTGCTTCGACGCGTGCTTTTCGCAAACTGCGGACATGCAAAATATTGATATTGCCTGCGTCTTGTTGCATTCTTGTACTTGCATAAGGCACCGCGTCTTGCACAGATTCCCCGATTTTTTGCAGTGTTTGGAGCCTTAAACCAAAACCCTTAGACACTTTGAAAGAAAGAAACACAAAACCAACAAACAATGGATAATAAAATCGGGCGAAAACAAACTACCAACATCTAAGTCTACCAACCATAAATAAAACATTTAAAAAAAAACCTAAACATCCCTAAACCAACTGAACAACCCTTACGTCGGGGAAACGCAGTCGGTCCCAGCATCGTCTCAGCCACCTCTTCCGTGCCAGCAAGACCTGTGCCCTCGGGAGGTTGGATGGAGATGTCCTTGCCTGGTGTTTTCACAGGGCGCAGTTGCGGCAGTTGTCATAGGGATATGATGGAAATACCATGGAAATATCATGGGATATCACCAAAATATGGGGATACACATGGAGACCATATATTTCCCCCTGTTGCCCCGTGAATATCTGCATTTAACATGAATCCTGCATGAATATTTAACATAAATATAATATCATGCGAGATATACGCTATGCATATGGCATATAAATAGAAGACTTATCACCAAAAATATTGCACAAATTTTGGGTATGTTCGAAAATAGGATATGAGACCCCCCCTATGTGGCCACTATATGCCGATTTTAGTAGGGAAAATGATGATATCTGATGATTAACCATAAGATGGAATGCATATAACCTATTTTCAAAGCACGCAACTTGGATGTGCTGGACTATAGTTACTGGGACTTTTGGTGGAGTATAATATAGAATACTGTAAGCTATGCCGATATGCAGCAAGATCTTGGTTCTAAAGCATTTATTAATTGGGATGCACCCCAAAGAAGTCAGGACATATTGGAAGTGCATGAGCCTTGGCACCGTAAAATACGATTTGGGACTTCGGAACATGTCGCAACTGTTCTGCAAAACTCCCTGCAGCTCCCTTCAAACTTCGAATGTCTGCGCCCACATCGCAATAAAGTTAACAAATAAAGCCATAACGCAAAGTTGTCATTCGAAAGTCAACTTACACAAAAAAACACTACGAATGGAGAGTCTGGAATGTTGAAGCAAAGATTGTCAAAGTCTGCAAGGGAATGTTGCACAGCAGGCGGATGGCAGACACTGAAACCCCCTCAAACCATCGACACTACAAAACTCCAATGAACATCAAGGGAAGAAACGAATCTAAGGATTGATACGATGGTTTCGTAACCCAAAAGAATAAATACCCTCTGGCCTGACTCGTCCTTGTCCCCACAGCAAGCAGCACACTTTGACTGTTGGCCACCCATTGGTCACCCTGACGCAAGCCAACACAAAGATATACAAAGAATTACAAAGATATACAAAGATGCAAGAAACACAGCCCGCCAGATTGATCGGAATGCCCAAGGTCAACGATGGACCATGAACAGCCATGACAAACCAATACCACTCAGGTCACTCAGGATAAAGATCAGTACCGCGGGTTGTTTCTGGTGTCAGGAAGGCTAACAGTGTTTCTAGGTTTCAGGTTAGCAGTCCGTTGCTGGCATAGGTTCAAGTTCAGAACTGGCCAGCATCTGATACAACTAGAACTAATTATACATACCATGCAGTTAATACATCTAGATATATCTGGATCCTGAACGTCTGCTCTCGGCTTCTCTTTGGTCACCCATATAACTATATAACCCACCGTCACACTTTGCCACACGCCTGCAATTTTTTTGGGACTGGTGCACAAAAGCTTGCTCGCCGGTGCTTGAGCACTCAATGGCCGCATGGCAGGGAGACTCCCACAAGATTCCAGCTGCACGACAGAAAGCACGCGGGCTTTCTGCCATGGTTTCATGACGTTCCATATGTATCCGATATATCCATAATTTCGCCACTGCGGCAACTCACCAACTGTGGTAGAAAACACTCACTGCTGTGAGTGATGCAAAGACAAGGTCCCAGGCTGTGCTAAGCTCGGTGACTCCCTAACAAGTTCAATGATACATTCAGGTACTTCGGGAATTCTGCATGGCTACTATGGCTACATTCCCATGGGATATTAGATTCTACAGTACCATGTCTTGCTCCAAGTTCTCATCTGCGCGCAGAAAACGTCCACTGAGCTTCGTGCGTCACATCATAGCCTGATGAGGTCACCGTGGATCGTCAGGCGAAATGATCCAAATGGTCCAAATGTGAAAATATACTGAGATATCTGAGATAGTATACTTATATATAGTATGTCTTAGTATACTGAATCTACATAGGCCTACATAGGCCAACCACCAGGTACACTACGACACTACGAATGGCATTGGATCAAGCATGATCAAGCTGAATTCCGCAGCCGCCTAGGACCACCATGGCTGGGCGAGCTATCGGGATGTGCAGGACCCAGTAGGTGGGTATAGTATGGTAATGTACGGCATTTGTTTATTTATATATATATATATTTTTTTAATTTATTTATTTATTTATTTATCTCTGAGTGTGTTATATATATAATTAATCGTGTTACAACCATGTTATGATCATATTATATGATAGCCCCAGTACAAGCCACTTAGTGTGGGATATTGTGGGATGATATACACCAACAAGCCAACAAAGCCAACTTAAAACACTATTGGATGCAACCCTATGTGTTCTGCACGCTTTGCCAAGGCCACAATGAACCAAGCTTAACCCTGTCTTCAGGCTTGAATTCAGCATCTTGCAGAGTGACACATGGTGGTTTCATCGTTTAGACATGCTAGAATTTTCACCCCTCATGGGCACATAATACCACTTAAACACCTAGAAAAATCAAAGTCTTCCAATCTGTTCACGTGAAACACCTTCGAGAAAGCCACGCAACAAAATTCGCAGTGATCCTTTTAAAATGGTCGAGCCCGCATCACGCCTAGGGTTGCACAGCCTGAAGTATTAGCAAGAGGCCAGAGCCTCTGTCATCGTCAGCTGCAAGCCAAACGATGTCTGCAGTCGTCACCTACGACTGCGATCGCCTTTGATGCAATGGGAATCTATGAAAACTGAAAGACTCTATGACTATGATGGCTATGTGACTCGGCGCCGCATTGCTTGGCGCACTGGCCTATCCCTAGGCCCTGGATTTCTGGGATCAGCCTCGTACCTGACCATCTGCTCCCCCATACGTGCACGTGCCCTTGGTGCTCGAGGTGCCCCTACAGGCGGTTGCCGTGGTGGAGGTCTGGCCTTGGGAGCCCTGGAAGGCATCGGTGCAGGCGCGGCCTCCCGGGAAACCTTCATCTTTGGAACTACCACTGGAGGATGGCCAGGATGGCCAGGATGGCCAGGATGGCCAGGATGGCCAGGATGGCCAGGATGACCAGGATGGCCTGGATGGCCTGGATGGGCCAGGGTTGCTGGAGCTGCTGGTGGCTCATCATCATCATCATAGCTGTAGTCATCACTGTAGTAGTCATAGCTGTATTCCGAGTCTCCATCAACATCCGGTGGAGCTTGCCCTTGCAAAGGTGCCGGCAATGCGTACTGTGCTTGTTGGGACTTCTGTTTTGGAAGCGGTGGGGAGGGTGGACGACGAACTGGTCCTGCTGGGGCTTGCTGTTTGGGTGGCTGGTTGGGCCTGGGCGGCTCCATGGGAGTTTGCCGATTTCGTCTGCCGGATGCAGGCCAGCGGCCTGGCATTCTTGAAGGGCTTTGAGGCCGAGTAACTCTTCGAGGTGGACTTGGGGCTCTGGGAGCCGTTGGAGGATGGTACTGGTCCCTTGGGTCTCTTGGGTATCTTGGGTCTCTTGGGTATCTTGGGTCTCTTGGGTCTCTCTGGTCCCTTGGATGGTATTGATGGTATTGATTGTAGTGATTGTAGGCAGGAGCGTATGCTGGCTCATTTCGCATCCGTCGATTGCTGTAGGCCGGGTAGTCCGTGTCTTGGTAGTAGCTCTCCCGCCGGTCGATGGGCGAACGATCAGAACGCTCTCGCGGGCGCTTCGCTCTCATCATGGGAGGAGACAATTGCCGTTCTTTCAGGCGGATTGGCTGAGTTGGTGGAGATCGGCTCCGCGACTTGTGCGAGGCCTTGTACTTCTGGTCGTAGTTGTAGGACCATTCCTCCTGGCTATTGTTGTTCCAGCGGCCCCAGTTCCCTTGGGAACCTTTGCTCCCCCTTTCATCCACCAGGAAGGGGATATGCATCCGGCAGTCTTTGATGCACCTGAAGTTGGAGCAATGCCGCCGATCCTCTCGGCCACAAATTTGTGGATGAAACTTGGTCTTCAGATCTTCTATAAAGCTTGATGCATAGCTGAAGTTGTTGTGCTCGACTCTCAGCCAAAAAGGACGAGAAAACCTGGAAGTCAAGTTTTCAAGCGCGGCTGTGGCTAGCATTTCTACACCTTTTTCGGTGATCCAATTGTGGCTCAAGTGCAGCTCCTCCAAAGCTGTGCAGTCTTTGAAAACACTGAGGAGCTCCTTGCAACCCTCGTCGTCCAGCTGATTCTGGAAGAGCTTTAGCACCCGAAGCTCAGGGCATCTTTGACAAAATTTCACCACTTCTCTCAAGCCATCGTTTGTCATCTTGGTTTTGGAGAAATTCATCTCTACAAAGTCGAAACAACCTCACTGAAGACAAAAAAACTGGCCGGAAGGCTGGAAGTAGGCTAATTTCGGGTGTATATCATGAACTCTTGTTGATGCCAATATATGCCCATGTATAAGGACAAGTGGTTGTGGCATGACGACCATGTTGGTAGTGATATCCATCAGCTGTCCCTATCAAAGGGCGGCAGTATCAGCACTCCGTGAAGCTACAAACAACTTCAGCATCCTGGCTGTGACTAGAAGATGGTCCTACCAATGGACCTTTTTTTTTTGCCCTCCAGTTTGTGGGTGCATGAAACTTTGAGCCATGCCAATTTTCAGCAGTGTCAAGACATATTTGAAAAGCCCTCCAAATGGATTGGGATTTCCACAATAGTGGCACAGTAAACTCCTATAATCACCAACCAACTTTCAATGGTCAACTGTTCCCATTTCAACATTCCTGGAAGTTCTCTGCAATGCATGGGCCAAGTCGCCATCTGCACCGTTGCTTCTCCATTCCTCCTCCGTATCAGTTCTGGTCGTGGGACCCACTATTTCCCGGGGACACATTTGGACATGTCAGACCCGTTGGACCTGAAACCCCTGCGACTTATAAAATCAAAATCCCCAGGAAACCAAATTCAGGAAATATGTGTTTGAATAATTGTAATATGGTGTTGATATAATTGTAATATGGTGAATAATTGTAATATGGTGTTAATTTGAATTTGATACGTTTTGAATTTTAAATTATGATTTCGACATGGTTTTGTTATGAATTGGATATGATTTGGGTCATGATTTCGATATGGTTTTGGATATAAATTTGATATGGTTTTGATATGGTGTGGGAACGGAGCGTCTTTTTCAGAGTTCCCGATGGCTTGGATTCGAAATCAGAAACGGAAACAGCCCGGACACGCTTTTGGTCGATTTCTCGAATTTTCATATGATGTTGATATGATTTTGATGTGTTCAAGACATGTTTGAAAAAATCAAAGCACCCCCCAACAAAAAAACACACGCACACAAATCACACTTTTGACCCACATCAAAATCACAGTTTTGAGCCACTGCTGAAACCATATCAAAATCATAACTGCAAAACCAGGCCACCAACAAATCATAACAGCAAATCATATCTGAATCATATCATATCATAAAAGCAGTTATTTTGGAATGCCTCCATCCTAGAGGCATATTATGATGTTATAACCTGCGACCATGACAAACAACAGAAGGCTGATTATTGATATTGATATCATCCATTTGCATGCGATTACGAAGATTCAAAGATGATCATCAAACCATGATGTGAACATACGATTGATATATGCACACTCTAGACAGTTGCGCCTCTGCTAGCATGTGTATGCGGCATATATGTCATATGCGTCAATAAGGTAGGTAATGAACATTATATAACTACACACTGGCAAGCATTTTTTAAACAAAACAAACGTACATACTAATAAACAAATAAGCAAATGAACAAGTAGCTAAAATAGATGAATCAGTAATATAAATAGGTTGTACATTCAAACGTTGTGTGTATACCAATCTTATGATATATTAATTTGCAAAACCAAGGTGCACATTGAGGATCCTTCTTAGAAAAAACAAGGGCTATGGACTGGTTCAAATCTCTCTCTCTCTCTCTCCCTCTCCCTGTCTTGTGGATTGAAGGTACTTCCCGCTACTTCAACGCTGTGGATGTGAAAGGGTGTGGCCACCCCAACGCATGAGGAGCTCAAATAGCGGTCCAAAAAAAGAAGCAAAAGTAAAATCCTCCTAACTCAGTGGAGAATTTCTATTCTCTAGGTTACTCTAACCCATAATGCAAGCGTTTGCACATCTTACGTTGTTGTGAAGTTCAACAATTGCCATGAGTAAATCTATATGGTGCAAAGCGCTTCAGGGAGCTGAGCTGTGGACATGTCATTTCTGTTTTCTTTGGTGAAGGTAATTGGATGTAATTGGCTCATCACCCTCTCGATATCTCTCGATCCTTCAACATCATTCAACATCCTTCAACATCCTTTCCGGGAAAGTGTCTCAAACCGCTCAACAGATTTAACAGGCAAAAACAAAAACCAATATTTCCCAACATGCCGTCCTTCTGCAAAAACTTCTTCACGTCTTCAGGCGTCTTCAGCCACTGCTTGTTGGAATCCAGAACCTCCATGAAAATCTTTGAAACCATTTGGGGGTATGATCGTATACCCTATTTTCAAACACACTCATATATGCAACCCTTGGGGTCAGATGCCTTGCGGTGATCTGATTTGTCATGGTCTCCGGAAGCGTAAGGTCGGGCAGATTCGGCCTGCGCGATAGTGATCGCAAACCCACCATACTGATCTTCACGTGTTTTTTCTTGTTATTCGGAAAGCCACACCCAGACAGACTAAAGCTACAGCGTCAAAAAACACACATCCAATGATCTGATGATATCTGATGAATGTTGCTGCCTCATGCTGTCTCAAGAAACATCAGGAAACGCTTGCCCTTCCATATTTGGATGCGACGCCCGGCACAGATCCGTTTGGATCCACAGAGCCTCCCAGTTCTTCTCTCGACGCTTGGAGTGCCTGGGAAACTCACGGTGTGAAGCTCGCCATGGCCACTGAGCTGCTCAGTTCCGAACGACTCTGGCGAATGACCTAACAGCGCGGGTCAGTGTTCAGTTTCTCGGTCTTGTTCTTGACCATGCACCAATACATCCCATACGCCATAGTGTCATAGATGTTCATAGCATACTATGATATACTATGTCTACCAGTTGCATCCAGTTGCCCCCTCACATCACACTTTCGGAAACTTTCAAGACTTTCGGGCTAGGTCCCGCTAGGTCCCAGGCCTCGCTTTTGCCCGTCCTGAAGCTGCAGTCCCTCGGGGCTGGTATACCTGTTATATCCTGTTTTTATTTAACATCATTTAAATCTTATCCTATTTGTTGTTCAGTATGACCATGGGTGACACCGCTAACCAACATTAACCAACCCACCAGCTGGTGACAGCCTGGCGCCCGCCGGTTCCTGCGGTTCCTGCGGTTCCTGGTCTTCTGCCGGCCGACCTGGGTACCACCAATCACCATGACTGCAACTGACTTTACATTTTGATCATTTTGGCTAAGAGCAGCTCTGCAATCCAGAGACCTACTCAGACTGGACTCCTCGACCCCCCAAGAGATCCAAGACGCCCTGACTTGCTGCTTCAGCGGCTTCACCATCTTCTTGATTTCCCTGCAGAAGTTGGTTTTTGGAGCCCGGAGAAAAAAGGAAAAAACATGAAAAAACAATACATCACAAATGATACCCCTATGATCCCCTATGTCAACCAACAATGCTGAGTTATTGCATGGTTATTATCAAAATTATCAGAGGGATTTATGGAGTGGGATAAATATGACAAGGGGCCAATCCACCATGATCCATTTGACACCATCACTACGGCCTGAGCAATGATCGTGCCCACTTCAACGATGGGACAGTCTTCTTCCTTGCTGCTCTCAGAATCCTGCAGGCAAAACATGGCCGGTCACGAGGCAGGCGATTACTCAGGCACTTGGGCCTGATTTGATTACAAGAACCCTGAAATGGAGGATCCCCCACTGAATCATCAAATGTTGGCCTGCTCAATCCATTGAAATCCATTGACACCGATTCTAGCTCGATTCTGGGGTTCCCATTGCGCCACTATGCGCTGAATAAGTTTGCAGCTCTGATATCTTTGCGCCACGTTCTCCTCCTGGTAGTCTGCGTTCTCTGCATCTGCCTGCACGGTTTTCCGGTCCCACAGGGCCTGCGGTTCATAGCTTGTCATCCCTCGATTCGAAATGCCTGGTGTCCCAGGAAACAACGGCCTTCCGAAGCCTTCCCTTTCTTAAACACTTGGGAATACTTGGGAATACTTGGGAACTGGAATATAGTTCTGTTCTGTGCCCGGGCCTGGTTCTCCTCCTTGACGTTCGTGTAGTCCTTACCATGGGACATCACCCCGCCCCATCGGCTGTAAGTTCCCAGTTGCATTCGAATAGTCCAAGCATATGCAAGCCTTACGCCGGTGCATATTCTCAGAAACCACGAAGGCATTATGCAGCAGCATTAGCATGCGTAAATTTTGATCAATCTATCAGAAGAGTCTACAATCTCAAAGTCTAAAATTTGTAGCCACTAACTATCACTAACTTGCACACACTGGAACCGTACCTATGCTGCAATTGCATGCAATTGCATGACTAAGCGGATCATAGCCTTTATTCTTTACATGTCTTTTCTCTATCATGTGATTGAGAAAAAATCTTAGTAGCTCCTTGACTCCCAATCGAGTATGGATACCCACCGCTCCTTCGCTCCCTCCTAACCACTGGATAGAATTATTTCCTGCATGCTGGGCCCAATTTGCCAATGCCAAATCCACCCACCCTGCGAACGGAGACATCCTCTTCAGTTTCAGCTTCCTGAGAGCCAGGTTGGTGCAACCCAGCACGCTGGCAGGCATATGTTGACATCCAGATAACGTTACAAACAACTGGGTTCACAACTCACTTGTCGTTTTATGGAGAAAGAAAAAGGGTACGTGCAACGAAAAATGCCATATCTTGTTGCAAATCAACACCGATGTCAATTCCTCGAACAACAAATGTGCCGGCCATACGTCCATCCACATCCATAGTTTGTATTCACCCTCTACTGTACATAAGCTCACAAACCAGTTGCCTGGTACCGTTCGCGTCAAAGTTCCACGTCTGTCCGGCCTGGTCTCTCCCATTCTCACCTTATCATTATTGGTCCATCAATCTTCGCACTTCTCCACCACCAACCTCCGTTTGTCTATCTGTTTGCAGGTCCGGTCTAGTTCCGGGGCCAGCCAGCGGCCTGCGCAATGATCGTGCCCTCAGCAACAATTTGCTGCTCGTCACTGCCATTCTCCTATGGCCAGACATAGGCTGAATCAGCTGAAGGTGCAAAAAAAATCAAACAAAACAGTAACATAACCATGGAAATATGGAAATCATTATCTTTAATAGGTAAATCAATGTCAATCATCTATGACCGGGCCATTTTCTATAGTAAACTGTCACAAACTACGAACCGGAGAAAACCTCAATCATCCGAGCATCAGCTGCGGTAGGAGGGTTGCTTTCGGTGCATGGCTCCTGCCAGCAGCACGGCACCAGTTGTTGGAGAAACCAGTTTCTCGCCGGCAAAATATGGTTCAGTAATGGTTGAACGTGTTTCATCATGGTTGGTACATGTTTGTAATTTGTAATGATTGAATTATGATGGTTATTCAGCATGGTTAACAATAGTTAATCATGATGAAAAGTTGGTTAATTCTCAAGAAACATTTGTGAATTCAGATGTGGCCGGGTATCAAACATGCATCAAACATGCCAACGCCACTAGGCCTTGCCCATGCCAGACCTTTTTCGGCACCTCTGCGATCAACATGCCATCTTCAAGCAACGGTTCCTCCTCTTTGACCGCGGTCAGCGCCTTGCACTGTGCAACGTGCTAAAACCGATGTTTTCTTTTACTTCCGGCTTGGTTTGGCAAATGCATAATGGACCCGTGTGGCGTTGAGCATCATGTGTTTGCAATCCAAAATTATGCAAAACTCATCAGATTTCAATGGTGTACATGAAGTATATCCTTACATGGTCTGAGCATAAAGCCTCCGCCATATCCGACGCAGCTTCCATTGCGTTTTTGGGGCAATGGCCTCTGGTTGCTCGATCTTGTTTGTCAGCTTTCATTCATTACATTTCTTTGCCGCATGTGAGCAACATGTTGATTAGTGTGGCTGATGGAACACCTAGAACGATCACATGTGCCCGACATGGGAGAAGTAGCAAACAGTGTCTGACTGCCAGGTGATGAAATTCAAATGGGGTGCAACCTGTTTCCGGATCATGTGTCTACGCGTTGAACCAAAATGTGTGCAACAGGAACGCCATTCCAGACATCAATCACCAACGGCCAACAGCAATCAACGAAACACACAGAGAATGAAAGAAGAGCAATCATCGGTTCTGATGTCCGATCAGCTCGCATCCAACAGTGGTTGGGAAGCTGCTCGATAATACTGCTAGCATTGAACAATACCGCACAGGTTTGACAAGCTGTATTTGAAGACTTGCCCAAGGATAAAAGCCTTCGGGTGACGAATACAAAACTTCTCACAAATGTGGAGGTGTACATGAAGGGCAACTAGTTGCTTCATGGTTTCAAGGCGAAGTGGGAAAGTACATCAATAAAAATCAATATGCACCGATACCCTCAAATTGCTATCACCAAACACTTGTATCTTAAAATTACGTAAAAATAATCAAGTTATTAAAAACTATATGGGGGTTGATCAAAACATAGTTGCCGGTGTGATATTAGAAATGACCTTGCGCCCGCCCTTGCGCTTCCTTGCGCTCTTCAGGGTTTTTATTGCGTTCCATTACATAGATTAAAATATGTATTTAAGAGTTGATTGCGGCAAAAAGTTGCTAAATTCAAGGGGGTGTTCACTGATCCAGTAATTACATCCTCTCAAGTTGCTTCGAACCCCCTTGGGGACCATTTTAGAACCCAAATATGGGTTCTAAAATGGAATCTACAAGGGGGGTCTTAGAACCTAAAATTTTTGGCCGCTATTCCGTTTTTGGGTTCTAAAATGGGTTCTGAAATGGTATTTTCCACCCTTAAAAAAATCAAGAAAAAACATCCAAAACTTGATATACTCGATGATGCACTCCTGCGTCAAACTCTTCAACATCTTCACTTCTTGTAATGGTCCAGTGTTTCCAAATCAACTGTTGGTATTATAGACCAATGCTGAAATATCATGAAGTAGCATTAAATAGCTGTATTTCTCTGTAACGTTCTTAAGGCCTTATTTGATCTTATTTGACCTTCTGTGTAAAAAGCTACATCTATGCGTTCTGAAATGGAATCCATGGGCCACGGATGTTGAATCACACTCTGGTACATGCAGGAAACCATTCTAGAACCCTTCCCTCCTCTCAACAAGAAAAATTGTGACATTCCAGATCAATGTGTTTCCAAATCAACTGTTGGTATTATAGACCAATGCTGAAATATCATGAAATAGCTGTATTTCTCTGCAACGTTGTTAAGGCCTTATTTGATCTTATTTAACCTTCTGTGTATAGAGCTACATCTATGGGTTCTGAAATGGAATCCATGGGCCACGGATGTTGAATCACACTCTGGTACATGCAGGAAACCATTCTAGAACCCTTCCCTCCTCTCCACAAGAAAAATTGTGACATTCCAGATCAATGTGTTTCCAAATCAACTGTTGGTATTATAGACCAATGCTGAAATATCATGAAATAGCATTAAATAGCTGTATTTCTCTGCAACGTTGTTAAGGCCTTATTTGATCTTATTTGACCTTCTGCACTTTATGTACGAGTCCCCTTAATTTCAATATTCTGCCTCGTTAATTCGGATTGACGTCGTGACGTCGAATTAAATCGTACAGATACATCATCATATGTTATTATAATATTATAAAATATATTATACTGTGTTATACAAGCTTCCAGGGTTCTACAATGCTTACGGGACCGGGGGTTCTACAATGAATTTTTTTCATTCTAGAACCCTCCGTGTTTATCCCCAGGGGGGGGCATTCTAGAACCTTCCAACTTGAGGGTATGTAATTACGCTGTGCAACGCAGACTTTTTTAGCGCAGACAGAATCTGATGATTCGGAGCTCGAAATCTCAGAAATTGAAGATTCTGAGGAGCTCTGCAGGTTCCGCTGCCATCTCTCTACCATACCCCTACCATACCTGTTAAAATTTGATTCCCGTAAAGCTTCTTTCTGGCTCAGAAGGGCCGTTTTGGGAATCAAATTTCCTATGTGTTTACATTTGCCTTTTACCATACCTCTTGAAATTTGATTCCCGTAAAGCTTTCTGGCTCAAAAGGGCCGTTTTGGGAATCAAATTTCCTATGTGCATACATTCTCCTTCTACCATACCTCTTGAAATTTGATTCCCGTAAAGCTTCTTTCTGGCTCAAAAGGGCCGTTTTGGGAATCAAATTTCCTATGTGCATACATTCTCCTTCTACCATGCCTCTTGAAATTTGATTCCCGTAAAGCTGCTTTCTGGCTCGAAAGGGCCGTTTTGGGAATCAAATTTCCTATGTGTATACATTCTCCTTCTACCATACCTCTTGAAGTTTGATTCCCGTAAAGCTGCTTTCTGGCTCGAAAGGGCCGTTTTGGGAATCAAATTTCCTATGTGCATACATTCTCCTTCTACCATACCTCTTGAAGTTTGATTCCCGTAAAGCTGCTTTCTGGCTCGAAAGGGCCGTTTTGGGAATCAAATTTTCTATGTGTATACACTCTGCTTCTACCATACCTCTTGAAATTTGATTCCCGTAAAGCTGCTTTCTGGCTCGAAAAGGCCGTTTTGGGAATCAAATTTTCTATGTGTATACATTCTCCTTCTACCATACCTCTTGAAATTTGATTTGGTGTGTTCCTTCGCCTTTCTTGTACGTGACCACGAGCTGTTGAGCTGCTAAAATGTTACTTCGAAAGTCTTGTAGCGAGCCCTGTCCAACATGGCCAAACGACCTGAAGACAACCTTGCGCTTACCTTGCACTAGACTTGGGTGTAAAGCAAGCCTTGAAAAGAAGAAAAAAATAGTAACTCGATTTATTTCCCTGGGGAAACCTATAAAACAGTTCAAGATAACTGCAAGCGCTCATGGCGCTGCTGGTCAGATTGGTCTTCACGTCCCACATGGTTCCGTCTGTCCTGCCTACCAGCTCTGAGCCGCTACAGCAGCAGATGTTCACTGAAACAGAAAAGAACAACGATATTAATATATCTTGCGCCCGCCCTGGCGCTTTCTTGCGCCTCCCAGGCAAAATGCACTACAAATTTACAACAACATACTCCACTACTGCATGCACATAAGGGTCCGGCAGACTCGGGATGTCCCCGTCGATCGTGTCGCCGTGGGGCGGTAGTTCCAGGAGGGAGCTGGCGAGCACTCTTTGCGTCGCCACCGCCACTATACCTGTCCACCGGGCAATCCAACCGGCGCAGGCCGCAGCGCGCAGCCAGGAAGGGGCATCTTGACTTCTTTGTGTGGCAAGGTGGCGGACGCGGTTGCGGGCTTCAACCCCCCAGCAGACCAGGAGGCGGCACCGGCTGCGTGCCGCCAGGAGTTCGGGGTATCTACGGCGTTTGCGGGCGACTGCGGTGGCTACAGCTCGCCCTGGTTCCGACGTGGTGCCTGGGTGCGAGAACCCGGCTCTGCTGATGGGGCTGACACACGTCGTGTCTATGGCCAGCTGTTGGCCGTGGTACGCCTGCAATCCATTGGCCACGATTTCAATTCGGCGTCCATCGGTGATGGGGCTGGCAATGTTCATGTTTGCCACTGCAACATTGCGAGCTACTCGGCCTCCCGCTTCTCGGCAGATCTTGGCCACGGCGGTTTCCAGCGCCGGGGCTCTCGCCGCCAACGCGCCGGTTGTGGCGCACGCGGCTCGGTGATCGCCATACTGGTCAAGGTCATTGCCACAGCCACACCGCCTTGGTGCGATGGGCAATGGCATCCGGAGGCGGCGCAACAGGGCCACACGGAAGTGCTGGTTTGGGAGTTCTAATTCCGGGCTCGGGGGAGCACTGTAAATGCTCGACCTGCGTAGCAACCTGCCTAGGAGTGCAGCAGGGCCTGAGATGCGGGGGTAAGGGTTGTAAAGAGCATCTCGGCCGCGCGCTCGTCAGCGGGCTGGCATGCCGCTGCCATCCGCGGATGGGGTCGCCTGGTTCAGGGGCAGCGTGTTCCGGATGAACGCCTGTCATGATGTCTTGCCATTGGCGGCGGGTCAAAGCCTGTGGCTCGTAGGTGCGCGGTTGCGTGGGTGAGCGCCCTTAGCGCTGGTATGTTTGGCTGCTGCAGTAATGCCAGCAAGCGCGCGGCTACGGCTGGTGCCCGTCCGTAGTTGGATGGCGGGGAGCGCATCGCTCCAAGATGCCGAGTAAGCCGCATGTCGTTGCTCAGCCGCTGAGCGGAGGCCGAGGCCGCCAAGTCGGGTGGGAAGGCGTGCTTGGGCGGCGGCTGGGGGCGGGAGCGGTGTGACATCTCCTGTGATCAGGTTTGCCATGCAGGTCAGGATTGCCGTGCCATGGGCTTCGGCAAAAGGCTCTGCCAAGTCGGGGGGCACCAGTCGCAGCAGGTAGGTGCTACGCGCGTTGGCGCTGTATAAGAGCAAGGGCCAAGCACACTGTAGGTCAGCCACGTCTGGTATGTGTTCCAGTAGGCGTACTATCAATTTGTTTTTGTTCATATTATACTGTTTTCTCCTGTTCCCGGTTTGTTTGGATCATGCGCCATCTGCAAGATTGCCTGCAATCTTGTTGTTGGTGCTGTTTGCATCTGCTTGCTACTTACATGTTTCTTTTGGGGCAGAAGGTTCCATAGATCATCGATGACCGCCCTTGGTATCTTCAGATGTGATCAGAATATTTCAGAATGCACAATGATAATATATCATAACAATCATAACATAGCACGCTGAAACCTGCATTCAACTTTTTTGCGCCCAGTTACCTTTTTGCAAGTATTCAGTGGAAAACAACACAGAAGACAGGGTTTCCAATCAGTTCTCCCGTTTTTCGACGACCTTTGTTTTTCCGCAGAAAAATGTGTGACT